AAGGCCTGGTCTGAAGGAGGGCAGCAAAGAAGCCACTTCTCTCCAGGAAAACCATCAGGGACAGACTGATATTCTGCTAAAGGTCCAGGGAGGGGACAGCTGAGGACTGGGGGAAAGTCATCTTCTCTCAGCAATCCCCTTTTCCATTGTTTGGGACATCTGGAAAACATCTGGTTGGGAGAAGACCAGGTGAGCGCTACCAGCAGTCTGGTCTCATGCCGACTGTAAAGCATCCTGAAACCATTCATGGTGGGGTTGCTTCTCAGCCAAGGGAGTCGGCTCTCTCCCAGTCTGACCTAAAAACAGCCATGAATAAAGAACGGAACCAGAATGTCCTCCCAGAGCAACTTCTCCCAACCGTCCCAGAGCAGTTTGGTGATGAATGATGCCTTTTCCAGCATGATGGAGCACCTCGCCATAAAGCAAAGCTGGTATCTAACTGGCTCAGGGAACAAAACAGAGAGATGTTGGGTCCATGGCTTGGAAACTCCCCTCATCTTAATCCCATTGGAAACTTGAGGTCAATCATCAGGAGACGGCGGACAAACGGAAACCTTCTGACTAAATGCAAACATTGATGGAGCAGAATGGACGCTATCAGTCAGGATTTGGTCCAGAAGCTGATTGACAGCAGCCAGGGAGAAATGTCCTGAAGAAGAGGAGTCACCACTGCAGATATTGACCTGCTGCTTTAACTCATTCTGTCATTAAAAGCTTTGGTTGCTCAGAATATGATGCAACATCTGACATGAACACCAGAGGGCAGCAGATCAGCTGAAAATAGAATATTTCACATGATAATCTGACATCCTGCACATGCATGACTGTGGGTATGCTGGTCTGACGGGGTATGCTGGTCTGATGGGGTATGCTGATCTGACGGGGTATGCTGGTCTGATGGGGTATGCTGATCTGATGGGGTATGCTGATCTGAGAGGGTATGCTGGTCTGACAGGGTATGCTGGTCTGACGGGGTATGCTGGTCTGATGGGGTATGCTGATCTGACGGGGTATGCTGGTCTGACAGCGTATGCTGGTCTGATTGGGTATGCTGGTCTGATGGGGTATGCTGATCTGACAGGGTATGCTGGTCTGACAGCGTATGCTGGTCTGATGGGGTATGCTGGTCTGACGGGGTATGCTGGTCTGACGGGGTATGCTGGTCTGTTGGGGTATGCTGATCTGACAGGGTATGCTGATCTGATGGGGTATGCTGATCTGATGGGGTATGCTGGTCTGATGGGGTATGCTGATCTGATGGGGTATGCTGGTCTGATGGGGTATGCTGATCTGACAGGGTATGCTGGTCTGTTGGGGTATGCTGGTCTGACAGCGTATGCTGGTCTGATGGGGTATGCTGGTCTGACAGGGTATGCTGGTCTGACGGGGTATGCTGATCTGACAGGGTATGCTGGTCTGACAGGGTATGCTGATCTGACAGGGTATGCTGATCTGACGGGGTATGCTGGTCTGACAGGGTATGCTGGTCTGACGGGGTATGCTGATCTGACAGGGTATGCTGGTCTGACAGGGTATGCTGGTCTGACGGGGTATGCTGATCTGACAGGGTATGCTGGTCTGACAGGGTATGCTGGTCTGACGGGGTATGCTGATCTGACAGGGTATGCTGGTCTGACAGGGTATGCTGGTCTGACAAGGTATGCTGGTCTCACAGGGTATGCTGATCTGATGGGGTATGCTGGTCTGATGGGGTATGCTGGTCTGATGGGGTATGCTGATCTGACAGGGTATGCTGGTCTGACGGGGTATGCTGGTCTGACGGGGTATGCTGATCTGACAGGGTATGCTGGTCTGACAGCGCATGCTGGTCTGATTGGGTATGCTGGTCTGATGGGGTATGCTGATCTGACAGGGTATGCTGGTCTGACGGGGTATGCTGGTCTGATGGGGTATGCTGGTCTGACGGGGTATGCTGATCTGACGGGGTATGCTGGTCTGATGGGGTATGCTGATCTGACAGCATATGCTGGTCTGACGGGGTATGCTGGTCTGACAGCATATGCTGGTCTGATGGGGTATGCTGGTCTGACAGGGTATGCTGGTCTGATGGGGTATGCTGATCTGATGGGGTATGCTGATCTGATGGGGTATGCTGGTCTGATGGGGTATGCTGATCTGACAGGGTATGCTGGTCTGACGGGGTATGCTGGTCTGACAGCGTATGCTGGTCTGATGGGGTATGCTGGTCTGATGGGGTATGCTGGTCTGACAGCGTATGCTGGTCTGATGGGGTATGCTGATCTGACAGGGTATGCTGGTCTGACAGGGTATGCTGGTCTGACAGCGTATGCTGGTCTGATGGGGTATGCTGGTCTGAAGGGGTATGCTGGTCTGACGGGGTATGCTGGTCTGACAGCGTATGCTGGTCTGATGGGGTATGCTGGTCTGAAGGGGTATGCTGGTCTGAAGGGGTATGCTGGTCTGACAGCATATGCTGGTCTGACGGGGTATGCTGGTCTGACAGCATATGCTGGTCTGATGGGGTATGCTGGTCTGACAGGGTATGCTGGTCTGATGGGGTATGCTGATCTGATGGGGTATGCTGATCTGATGGGGTATGCTGGTCTGATGGGGTATGCTGATCTGACAGGGTATGCTGGTCTGACGGGGTATGCTGGTCTGACAGCGTATGCTGGTCTGATGGGGTATGCTGGTCTGATGGGGTATGCTGGTCTGACAGCGTATGCTGGTCTGATGGGGTATGCTGATCTGACAGGGTATGCTGGTCTGACAGGGTATGCTGATCTGACAGGGTATGCTGATCTGACAGGGTATGCTGGTCTGACGGGGTATGCTGGTCTGACAGCGTATGCTGGTCTGATGGGGTATGCTGGTCTGATGGGGTATGCTGATCTGACGGGGTATGCTGGTCTGACAGCATATGCTGGTCTGATGGGGTATGCTGGTCTGACAGCATATGCTGGTCTGACCGGGTATGCTGATCTGACAGGGTATGCTGGTCTGACAGGGTATGCTGATCTGACAGGGTATGCTGATCTGACAGGGTATGCTGGTCTGACGGGGTATGCTGGTCTGACAGCGTATGCTGGTCTGATGGGGTATGCTGGTCTGAAGGGGTATGCTGATCTGACGGGGTATGCTGGTCTGACAGCATATGCTGGTCTAATGGGGTATGCTGGTCTGAAGGGGTATGCTGGTCTGAAGGGGTATGCTGGTCTGACGGGGTATGCTGGTCTGACAGCGTATGCTGGTCTGATGGGGTATGCTGGTCTGAAGGGGTATGCTGGTCTGAAGGGGTATGCTGGTCTTACAGCATATGCTGGTCTGACAGGGTATGCTGGTCTGATGGGGTATGCTGGTCTGATGGGGTATGCTGGTCTGACAGCATATGCTGGTCTGACGGGGTATGCTGATCTGACAGGGTATGCTGGTCTGACGGGGTATGCTGGTCTGACAGCATATGCTGGTCTGACGGGGTATGCTGATCTGACAGGGTATGCTGGTCTGACGGGGTATGCTGGTCTGACAGCATATGCTGGTCTGACGGGGTATGCTGATCTGACAGGGTATGCTGGTCTGACAGCGTATGCTGGTCTGACAGGGTATGCTGGTCTGACGGGGTATGCTGGTCTGACGGGGTATGCTGATCTGACAGAACACTGGGGTGGATCTGGGATGCTGGAGTTTCTCCAACCATCAGTCTGCTCCAGATGTTTCTGGAGGCCATCTCTACATAAAGATGTCTCTGAATTCGTCTCTTCCTGCTCCATCTGTTCTAGAATAAAAACTCTGCTCAGGCCTCTAAGATCTACACCTGATGCTCAGTCCAGATTCATGCAATAATCCAGACCTCCTCCTCAGAGCTCATGCTCATGGTTCTGGTGCAGCTCCCTGAAAGAGTCACACCATGACTGGGCGTCAATGGAAGGCTGCACTAGTAGAGCTCCAACGCCCAGCAGGTTCTATAGCTAACATAATAGCTGCCTTCCAGCCTGGATCAGAGATCACTGATGGATCTGATGCTAAATGGACGTGAAGCAGCCGGAACCATCCATGATCCTCAGCAGCGTGAGGCCTGTGGCTCGGTCCGGTCCGGTCCGGTCCCAGGGCTGATTATGAGCGCCTCAGAGGCAATGATGGACATTCATCTAAAAACAGTCAGTATTTATACCAGCTAAGGCTTGACTTCGACCTCTGTGATGGAAATCCATACATCAGCTTTATGCTCTTTAATCTATTTTTTTAGTATTGGGGTTTAGAAAAATATCCCTTTGAAAAAGAACCTAAAAATAATGATGGTCTCCAGGTAACCATGAATAAAGTCCAATAGGTGATCTGAGCTCAGATGAAGCTGTCAGAACTGAGGACAGAAAGGAGAGGGGCTCTGGATCTTCACTGGATATTTTTATCAACACATTAAGACCATTATCATAACCAGCTAGCTTAGAAATAGAGAAAAATGTATAAATTAGCATCCCCAGGGCTTTCTATTAGCATAGACAGCAGCACTCAGCCTAAAGGAGAAAGATGGAAGAAATGGAAGCTCAGCAGGAGGTCCCTCCAGGGAATTACTGATCCTCCATCGTTCCTCACTCTCTGATTTTACTTTAATACAAAGATTAGAGACAGATGAGCACCAAGAGGAGTCACTTCATTGGTTCATCACTGCGTGGCTGCAGGATGGATGGATGGATGGATGGATGATGGATGGATGGATGGATGGATGATGGACACACCCAGCTTCATAACAACCATAGAAATAAAATGTATAGAACTGAGTAAGAGCAGCAATAACCTGACTGAAGGCAGTGAAGCTAAAGAAGATTAACAGGCAGCTTCAGAGCTACTAGAACCTCCTGGACCTCCTGAGTCTGCAGACCTTTGCACCAGGAGCACCACCAGCATCAACGATGCAGGAACAAAGGAAAGCTTTCCGCTGACAGATGAAGATTTAAAAACAAAGACTCCAAGCTGCTCAAAAAACAAACTAAAGTTTTAATATTTCAATGAATTTCAAACAGATCAGGAACCGGGATCAAAGAAAAACTCTAAACAAAGATGGCCGCTTCTGGCAGAAAGCGCTAAATAATCATTGATTGCTTTGTTTCAGAACTGGTCCAGGACCAGTTTCCTTCATCTTCCACTGGGAGCCGATCTTATGCAGACTTGAAATGATTCTCATCAATGGTGTAAAAGATGTGACCTTCGTTTAGGAGGAACTCCAAGGAAGACCTGAATGAACAAGAACAGATTAAATTAGTTAGAACATCTGGGTCTGACTGTAGATTAGAGACCAATGTCCTGTTAGCTGCCTGCTAACGCACAGCCAGGAATCCCATCATTGGTAGAGTTCAGCAGTTAATCAGAGGGTGGATCTGATGGGTGGGAAACCAGTCTAAACCAGAACATTCCAGACCATCACATCCAAACATCTCTTGTTGCTCACAGAGGCAGAGTTAGAATCCAGCGGCTGCGTCCTCCGAAGGTCAGATTCACAGGCTGATTACATCATAGCTCGTCGCCGAAGCGCCTGATCGGATTGGAGGACCTCCCGTTATGCGGCCGATAAACGCAGCCATCGTTTTGAAGGATGGGTCCGCTGTCACCTCCATAGCCTTGGATATCCCATGATTCATTGCGAGTCCAAGCAAGCCGTCTGCTCCGTGGTCAGAGGAAAAAGGGGAAATGGCGCCAAACAGTGGTGAGTATTGGAAGTTTAGATTAATATAATCCAGTCAGTGAATAAGTTCCGTCTGAAATGAATGAAAATAGTTGTTTTAATGGTTATTGAGTCAGATATTTGACGGGTAAAGATTAGTTTATCTAAAGTTTTTATCTTTCCCTAAATGGTTCTGGCTGTAATTGAAGCTCAGATTCTAATATCTGTGCAGAGTGGGGATTATAGATGTGATATCTGAGAGGACAGCACTGCTGCTGAAGCTCCTCAGGAAAGTAATCAGCACCCAGAACAGCAAGGAGGACTTTAGCACCCATTCTTTCCCTGCTGTGTGTGGCAATGGTCACGGTTGCTAGGCAACAGAACGAACGTAGAGTGAGGGGTGGGTTAGGCTGCAGAAGGCTGGACCTGTTTGATTCCATAGCTGAACTCACAGCAGACCCAGTCCAAGTATCCAGGTAGACCGGGTCCTTGGAGGACGCAGCTGCCGGATTCTAACAGAGATTATCCTGATCGGAACAAATCTTTGTTTTGATTTCATGGCGTTCTGCTTTGTTCATGTCGAATCTTTCCAAAGCTTTAAAGACAGACTTCTGGCTGCTGGAAAGTAGCGACTGAAAAGTTTGAACATTCGTGGAGGTTTGTCAGCCGTCTGACAGCCAGGAAGTTTAACTACAGCTGGTTAATAACGGCGGGGGGGTACCTGATGTCTGTCATGCTGATGTGATCCAGCTGAGTTCTCAGGTAAGACAAAGCAATGCCTTCATCGTGGACAGAGAACACCCGGATCAGATGCAGAACCTCAGAGGAAAAGACAAGAAAACAGATCAGTTGTTACTCCCTCAGTCCGCTATGCACTGTTGGAAATCATCAGGACCCCACTAAACCATCATTCATTCATTCATTCCTGATGATTGAATTTTTCAGAGCTAACGTATAAACAGGTAGCAGAGGGAGGGAGGGAGGGAGGGAGGGGATAATTAAAGGGACGGTCTAAACTTCTAAAGCTGAGGTCTGCTTCAGGTTTAATGAAAACTCTGCTTATCAAACATAAGATAAAAAGTTTTTCCTTTCTCTAAGAAAGTTATGCACCTCAACAATTCAAACAAAATACATTTTTTTATACCTAAAAGAAACATTCTGGGTGTCTAAAAATAAATGGCAGATCTCTTTATTCCCATCATTTTTATTATTTTAGAAATACATACATTTATTCAAGTCGATTAATGTGAAAACAGCCTGCCGTAGCTGACTAGATACTTAGACGTTAACTCACTGGAAACCTATTTTATTGATCTACAGATGGAAAAACAGCAGCTTAATAAATGACACAGCTGCTTGCCATAATATGCCAGATATAAACCTGCTGCCATCTTGTCCTGCTGCATCTCCTGCAGCTTTAGAACTGTTGCTCTTTTTAATCTCATGCTCCAATATTTTCGTTATTGTCATGGATTACAGTCTGAGTTTGATGAAGATGCTTTGTAAAAAAGACCCTTATAAGTTCAGAGGTCCGGGTGGTCAGCACAGGGCAGGGACACTTTAACGGGTCGGGGACATGTCTACAGGACAGGGACATCTTTACCGGGTGGGGGGGCGTCTTTACAGGGCGGGGACACTTTAACGGGTCGGGGACATGTCTACAGGACAGGGACATCTTTACACAAACTCAAGTTCTCAGAAAGCAGAACGGATCCCAGGCCTATTTTATTTTAATATCCAAGAAATAAAATATTTTCATTTACCCCTTGCAATACCCTGGCAGACCACTAGGGGTCCGTGCATCGCCGGCTGGGAAACTGATTTCACTTCTGGTTGTACGCACACTTTTGAAATCCTTGATCTGCCCCTGGCTTGCAGTCGGGTGGAGGGGATAGAAGGGCGTGGCTGGCATGCCGCGCTCGGCTTAGGGGGGCTGGGTCCCCGGACAGTGCTTGCCTGGGGCTCCTCTCCTAAAGTAGGGTCTGGTGTGTTGTGTTCAGGGCAAGGGTACTTGGATTCTTGTCCCTTTGGTTGGGGTCCAGGCCCTCATCAGGTCTACCTTGGACATCACGGGCTGCCATGGACCTGTGGGACCACAGCAATATGGCCTCTGGGGATTGGCCCCTCGAGGACTGGGTCCCTTTGGGTTTGGCCCCCTCGGGGGTCGGTCTCCGGGGGCTCTCGTCTGCCCTTCTCTGGTGGGTGTGGCCATCCTTATGAATGCCCTCCTTGTGTCCCAGTGATCTGGGTCCCACTGGGTATCTGGGGCCAGGATCACCCATTTATCCTTAGATAGAAACTTTGAATCAGTCTGACTGGATGATCTGTTGAACTGGAAAGTGACCTGAGATGACATGATGTGAATTGGAGCTATAGAAATAAACTGAATAGAATAGAATTGAATCCATCCTGGGCCCTGTAGGGCGAGTCTGGGGCCACTCACACCTGTTATTAAGTCATATTTTTAGGTTTTTTTCTCTCCCTTTAGTTCTTATCCCTCCTTTCTGTCTCAGTCTCTGTTGTACGATTTTACTTCCTAAATACGTTTTAATAAAGTTTCACGTTGAACTACCAAGCAAAACCTTATGTCAGCAATAAAGCAGTTAGCTATCAGCTAGCTCTGGAACATCTACTGCCAGAGCCATATTGGCTAAACAGGACATAAAGATAAAATAATGAGGCAGGTATAGACATATTTTTACAGCATAAACTGGAGGTTCTGGTTGAACTTTCCTTCTGAAACCACTAACCTGGTCCTGGACCGTGGACAGACCCGCTTGGAGATGCACCCCGCTGCTCCAGTCAGGCCGCGGCACCACGGTGCTGTTCATGTTCACATCAAAGACCTGAAGCAAACAAACAGGAACCTGCAAAACCAGTTGCTGTCCAACACATACTGGTAACCATAAAGTTATGATCCAGAGACCAGAAAACATGGCTTCAGTTGATGCTTTCCAATCCCATCGGCAGAGCAGACAGGAACAGCCTTATTCCAAAGAATAAAAAGGGTTATTGAGAAAAACTTTCAGTCTAGTCCCAGATGGCCAATCAGCAGCCAAATTGGTAACAGAACCAGTTTGGAAATTGGTCTGTGGGCCAACCTGTCATCAGGAAACTTAGAAAGACTTGTTAAGACTCACGGCCAAAACGTCTTTGGTTCCACCATCAACTGCCAAATAATCTAAACACCCACAAACAAACGGTGAGCATAAAGAAATGAGAAAAGTTCTGATTTTCCAGCGTCCTGCTGCAGCCAGCCGTGCATCAGTGTCAGCCCTCTGTGGTTCTGCTTAAATGGCTGTAATTCTCATTACTGTTAAGCTGTAATACCCATCGGCCACCCCCAGGGGTCAGCAGCCCAGGAAGCAGCTATGCTGCAGCGACCTGCAGGCGCTGTGCTGTTACACACATACCGTCTGCTTAATCCATGCTCCCAGCAGAAGAACATGGCGGCGGCTCAGAGATCAGCTGGGCTGAACTGTGACTCTGAGCAGTTAGTCTTAGTTCTGCAGTAGTTATTACCTTCCTGCTGAGGTGCAGATGAGCGTGCACCACTTCCAACATGTGGGAGCTGATCTCGTTCAAGTCTGAGACGCACCGGATGTTCATGGCCAGCAGAGACCTTTGTCCCTGTTGATGGAGAGAAGAAAGGCCATGGTGGCATTTATTTTCCCGCTGCTGACAGCCTGCTTTGCTAGGTTAGCTTACAGCGTGGGTGCGTAGGCTTCCGATGACCTTAACATACGAGCCTGGAGAAGCTGAGGCTGGCAGACAGTCCTGTAAAGACCAGAGTTTAGAACCGAGCCTGGCTTCGCCCAGCGTCCTGCTGTCTATAGTAAACCAGTCAGACACTGACTTCCATGGTAATCCACAGCTTCACATTCATGGGGGGACCGGTCATGTCGTCCACCAAGTACTGAACATTGGTCAGAAACGGAGCGAATCCTCTCACGATTCCAACAATAGAAACCTGAAATAGGAGAAAAGAAGCTGAAGCTGAGAGACGTGATAAACAGCAGAATAAAGACAACATGATGCTGGAGGTGATGGGGATCTGCTGCTGCGCCGTGGACCGCTGGGCCCTCTGGGTCCTGGTGGGGTTTGGGACTTGGACCGCTGGGCCCTCTGGGTCCTGGTGGGGTTTGGGACTTGGACCGTTGGGCCCTCTGGGTCCTGGTGGGGTTTGGGACTTGGACCGTTGGGCCCTCGGGGTCCTGGTGGGGTTTGGGCCTCAGACCGCTGGGCCCTCTGGGTCCTGGTGGGGTTTGGGCCTCAGATTGTTGGGCCCTCGGGGGTCCTGGTGGGGTTTGGGACTTGGACCGTTGGGCCCTCTGGGTCCTGGTGGGGTTTGGGCCTCAGACTGTTGGGCCCTCGGGGGTCCTGGTGGGGTTTGGGACTTGGACCGTTGGGCCCTCTGGGTCCTGGTGGGGTTTGGGCCTCGGACTGTTGGGCCCTCTGGGTCCTGGTGGGGTTTGGGACTTGGACCGTTGGGCCCTCGGGGTCCTGGTGGGGTTTGGGACTTGGACCGTTGGGCCCTCGGGGTCCTGGTGGGGTTTGGGCCTCAGACTGTTGGGCCCTCGGGGGTCCTGGTGGGGTTTGGGCCTCAGACTGTTGGGCCCTCGGGGGTCCTGGTGGGGTTTGGGACTTGGACCGTTGGGCCCTCTGGGTCCTGGTGGGGTTTGGGACTCGGACCGTTGGGCCCTCGGGGGTCCTGGTGGGGTTTGGGACTCGGACCGTTGGGCCCTCTGGGTCCTGGTGGGGTTTGGGACTTGGACCGTTGGGCCCTCTGGGTCCTGGTGGGGTTTGGGCCTCAGACGGTTGGGCCCTCGGGGGTCCTGGTGGGGTTTGGGCCTCAGACTGTTGGGCCCTCGGGGTCCTGGTGGGGTTTGGGCCTCGGACCGTTGGGCCCTCTGGGTCCTGGTGGGGTTTGGGACTTGGACCGTTGGGCCCTCTGGGTCCTGGTGGGGTTTGGGCCTCAGACTGTTGGGCCCTCTGGGTCCTGGTGGGGTTTGGGCCTCAGACTGTTGGGCCCTCTGGGGTCCTGGTGGGGTTTGGGCCTCGGACCGTTGGGCCCTCTGGGTCCTGGTGGGGTTTGGGACTTGGACCGTTGGGCCCTCTGGGTCCTGGTGGGGTTTGGGCCTCAGACTGTTGGGCCCTCGGGGGTCCTGGTGGGGTTTGGGACTCGGACCGTTGGGCCCTCTGGGTCCTGGTGGGGTTTGGGCCTCAGACTGTTGGGCCCTCGGGGGTCCTGGTGGGGTTTGGGCCTCGGACCGTTGGGCCCTCTGGGTCCTGGTGGGGTTTGGGACTTGGACCGTTGGGCCCTCTGGGTCCTGGTGGGGTTTGGGCCTCAGACTGTTGGGCCCTCGGGGGTCCTGGTGGGGTTTGGGACTCGGACCGTTGGGCCCTCTGGGTCCTGGTGGGGTTTGGGACTTGGACCGTTGGGCCCTCTGGGTCCTGGTGGGGTTTGGGCCTCAGACTGTTGGGCCCTCGGGGGTCCTGGTGGGGTTTGGGCCTCAGACTGTTGGGCCCTCGGGGGTCCTGGTGGGGTTTGGGACTTGGACCGTTGGGCCCTCTGGGTCCTGGTGGGGTTTGGGCCTCAGACTGTTGGGCCCTCGGGGGTCCTGGTGGGGTTTGGGACTCGGACCGTTGGGCCCTCTGGGTCCTGGTGGGGTTTGGGACTTGGACCGCTGGGCCCTCTGGATCCTGGTGGGTTTGCAGTCAAAGGGTGATTGTGTCTCTGATCCCTCCTTGCTGCTCCAAAGTTTCTTGGTTCTAGAGTGAAGGTCCGGATGCATCCAGAGCGTCTCCAGGAGAATCAACCACCCACCGACACATTATGACTCCCATTCATTTCAATGGCCTGACCAAGCCAGTAGAACTATAGAAAGTAGATCAGACAGCTGATCCAGACGCTGCTGCCTGCCTCCTCACTAGAACTATAGAAAGTAGATCAGACAGTTGATCCAGATGCTGCTGCCTGCTTCCTCACTAGAACTATAGAAAGTAGATCAGACAGCTGATCCAGACGCTGCTGCCTGCGTCCTCACTAGAACTATAGAAAGTAGATCAGACGGCTGATCCAGACGCTGCTGCCTGCCTCCTCACTAGAACTATAGAAAGTAGATCAGACAGCTGATCCAGATGCTGCTGCCTGCTTCCTCACTAGAACTATAGAAAGTAGATCAGACGGCTGATCCAGACGCTGCTGCCTGCGTCCTCACTAGAACTATAGAAAGTAGATTTTGTTCAGATTTTAAAATCCTTCTGTCAGTCTAGAAATCACTGAATGGCTAAATTACACAATCCATTCCAGACTGGTTGGCAGGGGATCAACAGCCAGACCTATGAGGTCTACTGGATCAGAACCAAACATGGAGAAGCAGCATTTAGTTCTTCTGCTCCAATTATCTAGAATAATCTTCCAGAAAACTGTAGATGCTCTGAATTCCACTACTGGATTAAATGTAGATTAAAAACGTAGCTGAAACCTCTAACTGATATCTGAACATTATCCACCATTTTTATACTTAAGTAATCTTCTCATTTTAATTGAACCAGATTTTCATTAATCGTTTGATTTAGTTTCACTGCCACATACATCTGAGGCTCTATGTTTTCCTTGTTCAGAACTTTAAACGGCTTCTTAAACGTTCTACTGAAATAATCCTGCCTCGCTTGAACCACTCGTTCCCCAGCAGTCGGCCATCACGACCTTATATATGAAACTGATCCTGTTCAAATGAAATCATTATTCCCATTTTAGCAAACTATAAAAACAGAACCAATAAAACCTCTCTGAGGGGTTCGTGGGGCGCTGAGCTGCTCTAGGTTTGGTTTCTAGAACAGACAGATGAGCAGAGAGCTGCAGTGGTTAGCAGTGACCAGTCGGCCATGCTGGGAGGCCCCAACGCAGTCAGACAGGAAGAGCCTCAAACTGCGCTTTTCATTATCCTCATTTTTTTCATCTCAATTTAAATACAAATAATATTATATTACATCAGTAAATCAATCATTAAATTATCTATGGTGATAAAGTTAATCAGACTTTTTTTCCCTCCGAGTCTTGGCCCCCCTTTAGGGCCCTCAGGGGCCACAGCCCCCACTTACACTGGCTATCCTAAAGCTGCTATAGGCTCATGCTGCCGGAGGACATGGGGACCTCCTGGCGTCTGAGTCACAGGTGTTCCTCTGCTCAGTAGGGCGGACTGTGGCGGTTAGTGAAGATGAAGGACATCATACAGCAGGGCAGCAGCTACCAGAAGCTACACTCCCTCCTAGCTTAAAGACATATGATTAAACAACTGATAAATATATGTTTATCCTTTACTGAAGTAATCAGGGTGGATTGCTGCGGTTTTTTCAAGGCTGATCCTTAATATCTCCAAGCTAGCCCAGTTTAGCCTTCCTGGGTTTCAGCTCAGGTTTAACTGCAGTTAAACCTCCTCTCTGGTCAAACTTACCGAGTCGTTTTTAAAGGGCTGCTAACATGCTAACAGTTAGCCTATTCTGCACAGGTGAAAAAGGTGTGCAAGGAAAAATAAACTGATGTTTCCAAGGTGAGAACGGAGACAAATTAACTTGGAAATGTTACCAAGAGCTCTTTATAAAGTTAGTTGGAAAAAAGCAAACTTATTGGAGATGTTTTCATCACATCAGGATTTTGAAGTGAATTCTTTCAATCCAATGAAAGCAGTGGAGACCCTGCAGCTTTATTCAGAGTGGCGGAACCACAGGGACTTTCTCCACTAGACAGAGTTTAGACGTATGGACTTGGATGAAAGGAGGACTGACCTGGTTGAGCTCAAAGTCCCAGACTGAGAAGCAGTCATTGCTGAGCTGAGCGGCAGTGTGCAGCTGGGACACGGTGCAGGGGAAGACCTGAAGGTGGGCCCTCTGTGCTCAGAGAGAGGACAGCAGGAACAGGTGAGATGTTCCTCTGAGAAATCAAAGGTGGTGTTACTACATGCAGCAGACATCTACCTTTGAGGGAGCAGCTTTCTGGCTGGAGTGACTGCAGCCTGTTGGAGCAACAAGGGTCTGAAGAGGTCCAGCAGGTGTCTGAGATGATGATGATGTTCCACTCACCTGGATCCCACATGTCCACCAGGACCAAACAGCCTGAAGCATCTAACAGAGGAGCTGACTGAGCAGGCAGCTCAGCAGCAGCTGGGTGGAGTTAAAGCAATCAGACAGCAGAGCCTGCTGACTGGCTCTGGTTCTCTGAACGTTCCTCTGGTTCCCTGAACGTTCCTCTGGTTCTCTGAATGTTCCTCCTGTTCTCTGAATGTTCCTCTGAACGTTTCTTCTGTTCTCTGAACGTTCCTGACTTCTACAGCACAACAGATCAATGAACTTTCATCATTCTGCTTCATTCTCTCTCTGTTCTCCTATTCTGCAGAATCTGTTAGTTCAATCTCTAACCTTCTGCTCTCTCTGCTTTTCCTCAGAGTAGCTTTGCCTCGTCTGTTCCTGTTTGGCTGTGACGTCATCCTGGAAAAAAACATCAGCTGTGCTGCTTCTATCAACACCCTTGTTAATAGATGTTGGAGATCGGCCTGTTTTCCAGTGTGGTCCTGTTTCTCTGACCGTGACTGAGTGGATGTGCTCTCTTCGTCCTCTGGCATGGGAGCTGCCTTGGAGCTCGTCTGCCTGGCTGTGTGTTTCCTGGACGGGGCCGCCTTTTACAGCTGCTTTTTGTATCTCTGCTTCTGTCTCCTTGAACCCCAGTCGGCCTCAGCAGATGGCCGCTCACACTGAGCCTGGTTCTGCTGGAGGTTTCTTCCTGTTAAAAGGGAGTTTTTCCTCTCCACTGTCGCTACAAGCATGCTTAGTGTGAGGGATTGCTGAAGAGTCAATGAGTCGATGCAATCAGCTGGTTTTCCTTAGATAGAAAACTTTGTATCAATTTGACTGTATGATCTGGTTGAACTGTAAAGTGCCTTGAGATGACATGATGTGAATTTGGCGCTATATAAATAAACTGAATTGAATTGAACTTTTATCTTCATTAATTTGTTATCTTCAAAGGAGGCCGATCAGTTAGATGATCAGGAGGCGCCTTTGATCTCATTTTAATGACATCATAAAAGAGTCAGAGATAATCTGATAATAAATCTTTAAAAGACCAAAAAACATTTTATAACCTTTCAGATTTTACAGTTTTATTCACATTAAAAACCATTTAAGTTGAACTCAAACTGGATGAAATATTAATATGATAAATACGTTTTATATTATAACATATTATACAAATTTATAAGATACTTATACAGAATTTTGTTATTCAGTATTTTAAGGATTGCTCTTTGATCAGTTTTCTGATCTTCAGTGGAAATGTAACTAATGTGATTTACAAAATTAAGTTATTTTTTTCATTGTCCTGACTTCTTGTGAAATCACTGAATGCTAAATTTATGTGTCAAACTAAAAGGTTTTTTTCCTTATGGTTGTCTAAATTTTCTATTATTTATGGAAATGTGAACCTTTCTTGTTGAATCATTAATGTGACGCAGGTCCAGAGTCTCCCTGATGTAAACAGTCGTTCACTGATGCCGGCAGATCAGAGAAATGATCTGAGTTTAGACTCTGCCAGGTGGAGCTTTATGCTGGTGGAAGCTCTGATCAACCAGTGATCCAGGACACTGGTTGATCAGAGCTGATTGGATCAGTCGCAGAAGTTCCTCTGGTTCCTCTCTGGCAGGGGCGGAGCTACAGCTGCAGTTTATATCAAAGCTGATGGAACATCGAGCTAAGATGATGGAAAATAAAATAAAGTTCTGACCTTGCTGTGAAATCAGCAGGTAAAGTTTGCTGCTGGGATTTTATAGATGTTGATCACCTGATGGCTGAAAACATCTAATCAGCATAAAATAATCGATCTAATCAGCATAAAATCCACCCTGGACATTTTGGCAAAATTAGTGATGAAAAATAAACTCAAAAGGATGTAACTGGAAAAAGGAACGAGATGATGGATGTAATGCAGCCAAATTTGATATTTCTAAACGTGTGAGCGATGAAATGACTGAAAAATGGAGCTAAATGAGCCAAAATAATAGTTCATTATTAAAGGTTATTAGCAGGTCTGCTTCACCTGCTCAACAGCCTCAACAAATGATGGATGCTGCAGACAGCAAGAGGTGGGGGAGGGGGGAGCCGGTTCCAGGTCAGTGCTGCAGAGGAGGAACAATGAAGCAAGAATGTTTTTAAAAACCCACTTTATTTCAGAAACGACCCGATCAGGCAGAAAGCTTCATCCATCTTTACATCTGATGTTTCTGACACCAAACCACAAACATCCAGCATCCTGGGGGGGCCGGGGCCCTGATGCACAGGGGGGCCGATGCACCTGGAGCCCCGATGCACCGGGGGCCTCGATGCACCTGGAGCCCCGATGCACCTGGAGCCCTGATGCACAGGGGGCCTCGATGCACCTGGAGCCCCGATGCACCGGGGGCCTCGATGCACCTGGAGCCCCGATGCACCGGGGGGCCGATGCACCGGGGGGCCCCGATGCACAGGGGGGCCGATGCACCGGGGGGCCGATGCACCGGGGGGCCCTGATGCACCTGGAGCCCCGATGCACCGGGGGACCCGATGCACCCGGAGCCCCGATGCACCTGGAGCCCCGATGCACAGGGGGGCCGATGCACCGGGGGGCCCTGATGCACCTGGAGCCCCGATGCACCGGGGGGCCGATGCACCGGGGGGCCCCGATGCACAGGGGGGCCGATGCACAGGGGGGCCGATGCACAGGGGGGCCGATGCACCGGGGGGCCCTGATGCACCTGGAGCCCCGATGCACCGGGGGCCTCGATGCAGAGTCAAAGAAAAGCAAAGTGAAGAACTGAAACATTGAGGCTCTTGAAAACAGAGCTCAGCATCAGTCCAGGATCTGTACAATATTTACACTGTGCAAAACAAATCAATGGGGGGGGGATTACCCATCATGCTCTGCTCTGCGTGGAGCTCAGAGGATGACGGGTGAAGCACCTGGAGAAGGAACAGAGCAGCAGCTTAGAAGGGCTGAACAGAACGTTCCACTAGAACCCAGCAGGTTCTGGTTCAGCTGTCAGGGAGCATGAGGAACCGGTCCGGTCCGGTTTGGTCCGATCCGGCCTCAGAACGTCTCCTCCTCCTCCTGAGGACCTCCATGATGGTCCACCTGCAGCTTCTACTTCATATTATTACAGCAGCTTCTGAAGAAACACTGAAGGACGCCTCCGTTTCCTGTCATGGTTCTGATCCGATCCGCTGCAGCGTCACCACAGTCTGACAGAACCAGCGGCTCAGCCTGGACCCGTTGGTCCTCTGCTGTGGTCCGTGACCCGGCTGGACCTGGATGTGTTCTGTCCTGTTGGCCTGGTACTGGTCCTCCAGAACAGCCCAGCTCTGTTCACCATCACAGAGTTCACTGAGCTCACAAGCGTTTCCTCATTTAACTGTTCAGGCCCGGTTCTATTCGCTCCAGAACCAGGAACCAGGAACCACAAGGTCCAGAGACGAATGGAGCGAGCTACAGAAGCAGACAGCGGTCGATTGGTTAGCTTAGAACGTTAAGACTGGGATAGTGCTAACCGTGCTAATGTTTAGACTGGGCTGGCGCTAACTGTGCTAATGTTTAGACTGGGCTGGCGCTAACTGTGCTAATGTTTAGACTGGGCTGGCGCTAACTGTGCTAATGTTTAGACTGGGCTGGCGCTAACCGTGCTAATGTTTAGACTGGGCTGGCGCTAACCGTGCTAATGTTTAGACTGGGCTGGCGCTAACCGTGCTAATGTTTAGGCTGGTTAGAATAGACGCCTCTTTTCGAAAAAGTCAGTTATTGTAGTTTAGGACAATCATCAATTCTTTTGACTGAGACAACATTCCCAAAAGGGAACACAGGCTGGGATAGAACCAGCCGCGATGAGCTTAGAACCAGCCGCGATGAGCTTAGAACCAGCCGCGATGAGCTTAGAACCAGCCGCGATGAGCTTAGAACCAGCCGCGATGAGCTTAGAACCAGCCGCGATGAGATTAGAACCAGCCGCGATGAGATTAGAACCAGCCGCGATGAGATTAGAACCAGCCGCGATGAGATTAGAACCAGCCGCGATAAGATTAGAACCCGCCGCGATGAGCTTAGAACCAGCCGCGATGAGCTTAGAACCAGCCGCGATGAGATTAGAACCAGCCGCGATGAGCTTAGAACCAGCCGCGATGAGCTTAGAACCAGCCGCGATGAGATTAGAACCAGCCGCGATGAGCTTAGAACCAGCCGCGATGAGCTTAGAACCAGCCGCGATGAGCTTAGAACCAGCCGCGATGAGATTAGAACCAGCCGCGATGAGATTAGAACCAGCCGCGATGAGATTAGAACCAGCCGCGATGAGATTAGAACCAGCCGCGATGAGATTAGAACCAGCCGCGATGAGATTAGAACCCGCCGCGATGAGATTAGAACCCGCCGCGATGAGCTTAGAACCCGCCGCGATGAGCTTAGAACCAGCCGCGATGAGCTTAGAACCAGCCGCGATGAGCTTAGAACCAGCCGCGATGAGATTAGAACCAGCCGCGATGAGATTAGAACCCGCCGCGATGAGCTTAGAACCCGCCGCGATGAGCTTAGAACCCGCCGCGATGAGCTTAGAACCAGCCGCGATGAGCTTAGAACCAGCCGCGATGAGCTTAGAACCAGCCGCGATGAGCTTAGAACCAGCCGCGATGAGCTTAGAACCAGCCGCGATGAGCTTAGAACCAGCCGCGATGAGCTTAGAACCAGCCGCGATGAGCTTAGAACCAGCCGCGATGAGCTTAGAACCAGCCGCGATGAGCTTAGAACCAGCCGCGATGAGATTAGAACCAGCCGCGATGAGCTTAGAACCAGCCGCGATGAGATTAGAACCAGCCGCGATGAGATTAGAACCCGCCGCGATGAGCTTAGAACCCGCCGCGATGAGCTTAGAACCCGCCGCGATGAGCTTAGAACCAGCCGCGATGAGCTTAGAACCAGCCGCGATGAGATTAGAACCAGCCGCGATGAGCTTAGAACCAGCCGCGATGAGCTTAGAACCAGCCGCGATGAGCTTAGAACCAGCCGCGATGAGATTAGAACCAGCCGCGATGAGCTTAGAACCAGCCGCGATGAGATTAGAACCAGCCGCGATGAGATTAGAACCCGCCGCGATGAGCTTAGAACCAGCCGCGATGAGATTAGAACCAGCCGCGATGAGCTTCGAACCAGCCGCGATGAGCTTCGAACCAGCCGCGATGAGCTTAGAACCAGCCGCGATGAGCTTAGAACCACCCGCGATGAGCTTAGAACCAGCCGCGATGAGCTTAGAACCAGCCGCGATGAGCTTAGAACCAGCCGCGATGAGCTTAGAACCAGCCGCGATGAGCTTAGAACCAGCCGCGATGAGCTTAGAACCAGCCGCGATGAGCTTAGAACCAGCCGCGATGAGATTAGAACCCGCCGCGATGAGCTTAGAACCAGCCGCGATGAGCTTCGAACCAGCCGCGATGAGCTTCGAACCAGCCGCGATGAGCTTAGAACCAGCCGCGATGAGATTAGAACCAGCCGCGATGAGCTTAGAACCAGCCGCGATGAGATTAGAACCAGCCGCGATGAGCTTAGAACCAGCCGCGATGAGATTAGAACCCGCCGCGATGAGCTTAGAACCAGCCGCGATGAGATTAGAACCAGCCGCGATGAGCTTAGAACCAGCCGCGATGAGCTTAGAACCAGCCGCGATGAGCTTAGAACCAGCCGCGATGAGATTAGAACCAGCCGCGATGAGCTTAGAACCAGCCGCGATGAGATTAGAACCCGCCGCGATGAGCTTAGAACCAGCCGCGATGAGATTAGAACCCGCCGCGATGAGCTTAGAACCAGCCGCGATGAGATTAGAACCAGCCGCGATGAGCTTAGAACCAGCCGCGATGAGCTTAGAACCCGCCGCGATGAGCTTAGAACCAGCCGCGATGAGCTTAGAACCCGCCGCGATGAGCTTAGAACCAGCCGCGATGAGATTAGAACCAGCCGCGATGAGCTTAGAACCAGCCGCGATGAGCTTAGAACCAGCCGCGATGAGCTTAGAACCAGCCGCGATGAGATTAGAACCAGCCGCGATGAGATTAGAGCCAGCCGCGATGAGCTTAGAACCAGCCGCGATGAGCTTAGAACCCGCCGCGATGACCTTAGAACCCGCCGCGATGAGCTTAGAACCAGCCGCGATGAGCTTAGAACCAGCCGCGATGAGCTTAGAACCCGCCGCGATGAGCTTAGAACCAGCCGCGATGAGCTTAGAACCAGCCGCGATGAGCTTAGAACCCGCCGCGATGAGCTTAGAACCCGCCGCGATGAGCTTAGAACCCGCCGCGATGAGCTTAGAACCCGCCGCGATGAGCTTAGAACCAGCCAGTTCAGCTTCCCTGGACGCCTCTGAGGCTGGGACCTTGTGCCTTCTGGTCAGCTGCTTCTGGAACCGGCCCACTGGTCCAGGTTAGGAGAACGCTGTGATTCCAGAACCACTGGTTTGGGTCCAAAATCCAAAACAAACACTGATACCAGAGAGGACACCTGTCTGCAGACAGCATCGTGTTCACAGCACCTGAGCTTTAGAGAAGAACTGGATCTGAGCCCAAACCGTCCCCCTGCTGATGGTGCAGACCGGACTGAGAGGGTTCTGACCCGGCCCAGCGGACACAGCAGAACCACAGGACTGTGTCACGTATTGCATTTAGTAGGAATGATGGTACCTGCAGACAAGTGGAGGAACTGTGGGGCGGTTCTGTTGGACTAAGAGGTGGGTGGCGGTCTGGAGCCGCAGCTGTGGCCCCTCCCTGGTCTTTCAGCTAGCAGAGACAGGGGTGGGACAGAGACAGGGGTGGGACAGAGACAGGGGTGGGACAGTGAGTGGACGTCTGACTGGGCAGAACCTCGCAGGTTAACTCGCTCTTTATGTCCAGCAGCAGAGGAGAGGTGTTGAGGCGCTCCACGCGCCCCGTTCATGGCGCGCCCCGTTCATGGCGCGCCCCGTCCATGGCGCGCCCCGTTCATCACGTGTCCCAGTCCAGCTCTCTGCAGGCGATCCGGACCAGCCGCAGCTCCAGCTCGAAGGCGTCGGGCCGCTCCTGAGGGTTGGCGGCCAGCATCTCCCGGATCAGCTGCTTCATGTGGCTGTTCATGCTCTTCTTGCGGGCCGGGATCAGCAGCTCCATCTTGGGGTTCTCCAGCAGGGCCTCCCCCAGGGGGACGATCTCGGAGCCCTGCTGGACGTAGCTCCCCAGCAGCTCCTTCTGCGTCTCCACGTCCACGAAGGTGATGCGCTCCACCATGGCCCAGAAGATGACGCCCAGGGCGAAGATGTCTGCTTTGGCCGTGTAGTGGCCCTCCCAGACCTCCGGCGCCATGTAGAAGTCCGTCCCGCAGGCCGTGGACAGGAAGCACTTGTTGACGCTGGCCGGCTCCTCGGCGTTGAGCCCCGAGGCGGAGCAGACCTTGCTGAGGCCGAAGTCCGCCACCTTGAGGGTGGGCTCCGAGGAGCCGGCGGGCGTGCACGCCTGCGAGATGAGGATGTTGTCTGGTTTGAGGTCTCGGTGGATGATCTGGTTCCGGTGCAGGAAGGCCAGGGCGCTGCCCAGCTGCAGCATGAAGCTGGTGTTGGTCTTCCTGCTGGGCTTCCGGGACAGAAGGTAGGCGTTCATGTCTCCTCCGTCACAGAAGTCCATGACGAACCACAGGTAGTAGGCACAGCAGGGGTCAAAGGTTATCTCACCCTTCAGGGAGGTCTCCACCAGCTGCAACACAGAACCACAGGAGAGGGGTTACAGACCGCCCTCTGGATCAGAACCACAGGAGAGAGGGGTTACAGACCGCCCTCTGGATCAGAACCACAGGAGAGGGGTTACAGACCGCCCTCTGGATCAGAACCACAGGAGAGAGGGGTTACAGACCGCCCTCTGGATCAGAACCACAGGAGAGGGGTTACAGACCGCCCTCTGGATCAGAACCACAGGAGAGAGGGGTTACAGACCGCCCTCTGGATCAGAACCACAGGAGAGGGGTTACAGACCGCCCTCTGGATCAGAACCACAGGAGAGGGGTTACAGACCGCCCTCTGGATCAGAACCACAGGAGAGAGGGGTTACAGACCGCCCTCTGGATCAGAACCACAGGAGAGAGGGGTTACAGACCGCCCTCTGGATCAGAACCACAGGAGAGGGGTTACAGACCGCCCTCTGGATCAGAACCACAGGAGAGAGGGGTTACAGACCGCCCTCTGGATCAGAACCACAGGAGAGGGGGGTTACAGACCGCCCTCTGGATCAGAACCACAGGAGAGAGGGGTTACAGACCGCCCTCTGGATCAGAACCACAGGAGAGGGGTTACAGACCGCCCTATGGATCAGAACCACAGGAGAGAGGGGTTACAGACCGCCCTCTGGATCAGAACCACAGGAGAGAGGGGTTACAGACCGCCCTCTGGATCAGAACCACAGGACAGTAGGTTACAGACTGCCCTATTGGATTAGAACCACAGGAGAGCAGGTTACAGACCGCCCTCTGGATCAGAACCACAGGAGAGAGGGGTTACAGACCGCCCTCTGGATCAGAACCACAGGAGAGGGGGGTTACAGACCGCCCTCTGGATCAGAACCACAGGAGAGAGGGGTTACAGACCGCCCTCTGGATCAGAACCACAGGAGAGAGGGGTTACAGACCGCCCTCTGGATCAGAACCACAGGAGAGGGGTTACAGACCGCCCTCTGGATCAGAACCACAGGAGAGAGGGGTTACAGACCGCCCTCTGGATCAGAACCACAGGAGAGGGGGGTTACAGACCGCCCTCTGGATCAGAACCACAGGAGAGAGGGGTTACAGACCGCCCTCTGGATCAGAACCACAGGAGAGGGGTTACAGACCGCCCTATGGATCAGAACCACAGGAGAGAGGGGTTACAGACCGCCCTCTGGATCAGAACCACAGGAGAGAGGGGTTACAGACCGCCCTCTGGATCAGAACCACAGGACAGTAGGTTACAGACTGCCCTATTGGATTAGAACCACAGGAGAGCAGGTTACAGACCGCCCTCTGGATCAGAACCACAGGAGAGAGGGGTTACAGACCGCCCTCTGGATCAGAACCACAGGAGAGAGGGGTTACAGACCGCCCTCTGGATCAGAACCACAGGAGAGGGGTTACAGACCGCCCTCTGGATCAGAACCACAGGAGAGGGGTTACAGACAGTCCTATTGGATCAGAACCACAGGAGAGAGGGGTTACAGACTGCCCTATTGGATTAGAACCACAGGACAGTAGGTTACAGACCGCCCTCTGGATCAGAACCACAGGAGAGAGGGGTTACAGACTGCCCTATTGGATTAGAACCACAGGACAGTAGGTTACAGACCGCCCTCTGGATCAGAACCACAGGAGAGAGGGGTTACAGACCGCCCTCTGGATCAGAACCACAGGAGAGAGGGGTTACAGACCGCCCTCTGGATCAGAACCACAGGACAGTAGGTTACAGACTGCCCTATTGGATTAGAACCACAGGAGAGCAGGTTACAGACCGCCCTCTGGATCAGAACCACAGGACAGTAGGTTACAGACTGCCCTATTGGATTAGAACCACAGGAGAGCAGGTTACAGACCGCCCTCTGGATCAGAACCACAGACGAGAGAGGTTACAGACCGCCCTCTGGATCAGAACCACAGGACAGTAGGTTACAGACTGCCCTATTGGATTAGAACCACAGGAGAGCAGGTTACAGACCGCCCTCTGGATCAGAACCACAGGACAGTAGGTTACAGACCGCCCTCTGGATCAGAACCACAGGAGAGAGGGGTTACAGACCGCCCTCTGGATCAGAACCACAGGAGAGCAGGTTACAGACCGCCCTCTGGATCAGAACCACAGGAGAGAGGGGTTACAGACCGCCCTCTGGATCAGAACCACAGGAGAGGGGTTACAGACCGCCCTATGGATCAGAACCACAGGACAGTAGGTTACAGACCGCCCTCTGGATCAGAACCACAGGAGAGAGGGGTTACAGACCGCCCTCTGGATCAGAACCACAGGAGAGCAGGTTACAGACCGCCCTCTGGATCAGAACCACAGGAGAGAGGGGTTACAGACCGCCCTCTGGATCAGAACCACAGGAGAGCAGGTTACAGACCGCCCTCTGGATCAGAACCACAGGAGAGAGGGGTTACAGACCGCCCTCTGGATCAGAACCACAGGACAGTAGGTTACAGACTGCCCTATTGGATTAGAACCACAGGAGAGAGGGGTTACAGACCGCCCTCTGGATCAGAACCACAGGAGAGAGGGGTTACAGACCGCCCTCTGGATCAGAACCACAGGACAGTAGGTTACAGACTGCCCTATTGGATTAGAACCACAGGACATTTCATCACAGCGCTGTGTGTCCCGAGCCCGTAATATCATCAAAGACCCCTCACACCCCCACCATGGACTGTTCTCCCTGCTGCCCTCTGGAAAGAGGTTCCGCAGCATCCGCTGCAGATCCACCAGGTTGTGCAACAGCTTCTTCCCCACTGCCATCAGACTGTTGAACCTTTGATCCACAATCCGAACTCTGCACCTATTGCACATTATCGGGCATCAAATGCTGCTGAACTTTTAACTTTTAGCCCTTTAAATTGTTCATCTCATTGTATTTTTCAATAACGCATTTTTTGCACAAATGCCATTTTGCACTGAACCACTGCAACTTGCACACTGTCTCTTATCCTCTGCACTGTTCACACTTTGACCACTGCTGCACTTTTTGTATTTTTCTATAACTCGTGCCATTGTGAAATATCAATGCAACGTTCATAAGCTGTATGTAACGCAATTTCGTTCTGTATGCACCCTGTGCATACAAAATGACAAATAAAGAAGTCTAAGTCTAAGTCTAAGACAGTAGGTTACAGACTGCCCTATTGGATTAGAACCACAGGAGAGAGCAGGTTACAGACCGCCCTCTGGATCAGAACCACAGGAGAGGGGTTACAGACCGCCCTATGGATCAGAACCACAGGAGAGAGGGGTTACAGACCGCCCTCTGGATCAGAACCACAGGACAGTAGGTTACAGACTGCCCTATTGGATTAGAACCACAGGACAGTAGGTTACAGACCGCCCTCTGGATCAGAACCACAGGAGAGAGGGGCTACAGACCGCCCTCTGGATCAGAACCACAGGAGAGCAGGTTACAGACCGCCCTCTGGATCAGAACCACAGGAGAGAGGGGTTACAGACCGCCCTCTGGATCAGAACCACAGGAGAGCAGGTTACAGACCGCCCTCTGGATCAGAACCACAGGAGAGCAGGTTACAGACCGCCCTCTGGATCAGAACCACAGGAGAGAGGGGTTACAGACCGCCCTCTGGATCAGAACCACAGGACAGTAGGTTACAGACTGCCCTATTGGATTAGAACCACAGGAGAGAGGGGTTACAGACCGCCCTCTGGATCAGAACCACAGGAGAGCCGGTTACAGACCGCCCTCTGGATCAGAACCACAGGACAGTAGGTTACAGACTGCCCTATTGGATTAGAACCACAGGAGAGAGCAGGTTACAGACCGCCCTCTGGATCAGAACCACAGGAGAGGGGTTACAGACCGCCCTATGGATCAGAACCACAGGACAGTAGGTTACAGACCGCCCTCTGGATCAGAACCACAGGAGAGAGGGGTTACAGACCGCCCTCTGGATCAGAACCACAGGAGAGCAGGTTACAGACCGCCCTCTGGATCAGAACCACAGGAGAGAGGGGTTACAGACCGCCCTCTGGATCAGAACCACAGGAGAGCAGGTTACAGACCGCCCTCTGGATCAGAACCACAGGAGAGAGGGGTTACAGACCGCCCTCTGGATCAGAACCACAGGACAGTAGGTTACAGACTGCCCTATTGGATTAGAACCACAGGAGAGAGGGGTTACAGACCGCCCTCTGGATCAGAACCACAGGAGAGCCGGTTACAGACCGCCCTCTGGATCAGAACCACAGGACAGTAGGTTACAGACTGCCCTCTGGATCAGAACCACAGGAGAGAGGGGTTACAGACCGCCCTCTGGATCAGAACCACAGACGAGAGAGGTTACAGACCGCCCTCTGGATCAGAACCACAGGAGAGAGGGGTTACAGACCGCCCTCTGGATCAGAACCACAGACGAGAGAGGTTACAGACCGCCCTCTCGATCAGAACCACAGGAGAGGGGTTACAGACCGCCCTCTGGATCAGAACCACAGACGAGAGAGGTTACAGACCGCCCTCTGGATCAGAACCACAGGAGAGGGGTTACAGACCGCCCTATGGATCAGAACCACAGGAGAGAGGGGTTACAGACCGCCCTCTGGATCAGAACCACAGACGAGAGAGGTTACAGACCGCCCTCTGGATCAGAACCACAGGAGAGGGGTTACAGACCGCCCTATGGATCAGAACCACAGGAGAGAGGGGTTACAGACCGCCCTATTGGATTAGAACCACAGGAGAGAGGGGTTACAGACCGCCCTCTGGATCAGAACCACAGGACAGCAGGTTACAGACCGCCCTATTGGATTAGAACCACAGGACAGCAGGTTACAGACCGCCCTATTGGATTAGAACCACAGGAGAGGGGTTACAGACCGCCCTCTGGATCAGAACCACAGGAGAGAGAGGTTACAGACCGCCCTCTGGATCAGAACCACAGGAGAGAGAGGTTACAGACCGCCCTCTGGATCAGAACCACAGGACAGTAGGTTACAGACCGCCCTCTGGATCAGAACCACAGGAGAGAGAGGTTACAGACCGCCCTCTGGATCAGAACCACAGGAGAGCAGGTCACAGACCGCCCTCTGGCGGACAGATGAGGCCATAGAGGCGGCGGCGCCCTAGAAGCCAGCAGAAGCGGCGTCCTGCCTCCTCCTCACCTCCAGGTAGAGCGGCGAGCTGGATCCGTGGTTCATCCTCTGGGCCAACTGGTCCCGCTGCAGGATGCACTCCTCCAGGTGGATGACGTTAGGATGCTGACTCTGGATGCTGCTCAGGGCCCAGAACTCCCTGAGGGCCAGCTCTACGTTCTCTGGAGAGTGGCAGCGGATCTTCTTCACCGCCACCCGGGCCCCCGAACGCCTCACCGCCGCCTCATAGACCACGCCGTAGCTGCCGCGCCCCACCTCCTGGATCAGCTCGTACTTCGGCTGGCTGCTTACCATCCTTCCATCGTCTCTGTGGAGACAGAGAGGGACAGGTGAGGACAGGAAGAGGCGGTCTGCAGGGAGGGACAGGTGAGGACAGGAAGAGACGGTCTGCAGGGAGGGACAGGTGAGGACAGGAAGAGACGGTCTGCAGGGAGGGACATGTGAGGACAGGAAGAGACGGTCTGCAGAGAGGGACAGGTGAGGACAGGAAGAGACGGTCTGCAGGGAGGGACAGGTGAGGACAGGAAGAGACGGTCTGCAGGGAGGGACAGGTGAGGACAGGAAGAGGCGGTCTGCAGGGAGGGACAGGTGAGGACAGGAAGAGACGGTCTGCAGGGAGGGATAGGTGAGGACAGGAAGAGATGGTCTGCAGAGAGGGACAGGTGAGGACAGGAGGAGACTGTCTGCAGGGAGGGACAGGTTAGGACAGGAAGAGATGGTCTGCAGGGAGGGACAGGTGAGGACAGGAAGAGACGGTCTGCAGGGAGGGACAGGTGAGGACAGGAAGAGACGGTCTGCAGGGAGGGACAGGTGAGGACAGGAAGAGACGGTCTGCAGGGAGGGACATGTGAGGACAGGAAGAGACGGTCTGCAGAGAGGGACAGGTGAGGACAGGAAGAGACGGTCTGCAGGGAGGGACAGGTGAGGACAGGAAGAGACGGTCTGCAGGGAGGGACAGGTGAGGACAGGAAGAGGCGGTCTGCAGGGAGGGACAGGTGAGGACAGGAAGAGACGGTCTGCAGGGAGGGATAGGTGAGGACAGGAAGAGACGGTCTGCAGAGAGGGACAGGTGAGGACAGGAGGAGACTGTCTGCAGGGAGGGACAGGTTAGGACAGGAAGAGATGGTCTGCAGGGAGGGACAGGTTAGGACAGGAGGAGACTGTCTGCAGGGAGGGACAGGTTAGGACAGGAAGAGGCGGTCTGCAGGGAGGGACAGGTGAGGACAGGAAGAGACGGTCTGCAGGGAGGGACAGGTGAGGACAGGAAGAGACGGTCTGCAGAGAGGGACAGGTGAGGACAGGAAGAGATGGTCTGCAGGGAGGGACAGATCTGAGGACGCACAGCTCCTGATCAAAGGAGTGTGGAGGAAGGTGGAGGAGCTTCTGGTTGGTCGTAGTAAAATCAGAGCTCCTCCCTGATTGGACTGCCAGGTGTATGGCAAACCATTAAACATTCATTCCCCCCACAGAACAACCCAGAGACCAGCAGCTTCCCCTGGTTGTTCTGACAGCAGAATGGGATGAGTGATGCTGCGGGCCGTTACAAAGACCTCTGAACGCCACGAGTCAGCAGCTGAGCTAATCCACTGGTTCAACTGTTCACTCAGAACAAAGCCGCTGAGGTCCATGAGTTCACATCCCTGGTAAAGATGGCGGCATGGACCCCTGAAACAGAGCTGCGTGTTTGAGCGTCTGGCTGAGTTCCCGCTGCGCCGATTCCTCCTGATCTACTTCCTCATTTTATCACGTAAACAGAGGAAGAAACAGAAGGACGGACTTTAGGAATCAGCACAGGAGAAAAACTGATCAGCCCTAAACTGATTAATTGACTTTATTGATCTGACAGCAGAGAAATTTACTGATTTAGGAGGACAAAGATGGATGATATGTAGACAATATGCAGCAGGTCCTCAGAGGACGGCTTAAGGACCTGCAGGTCCTCAGAGGACGGCTTAAGGACCTGCAGGTCCTCAGAGGACGGCTTAAGGACCTGCTGGTCCTCAGAGGACGGCTTAAGGACCTGCTGGTCCTCAGAGGACGGCTTAAGGACCTGCAGGTCCTCAGAGGACGGCTTAAGGACCTGCAGGTCCTCAGAGGACGGCTTAAGGACCTGCTGGTCCTCAGAGGACGGCTTAAGGACCTGCTGGTCCTCAGAGGACGGCTTAAGGACCTGCAGGTCCTCAGAGGACGGCTTAAGGACCTGCTGGTCCTCAGAGGACGGCTTAAGGACCTGCTGGTCCTCAGAGGACGGCTTAAGGACCTGCTGGTCCTCAGAGGACGGCTTAAGGACCTGCTGGTCCTCAGAGGACGGCTTAAGGACCTGCTGGTCCTCAGAGGACGGCTTAAGGACCTGCTGGTCCTCAGAGGACGGCTTAAGGACCTGCTGGTCCTCAGAGGACGGCTTAAGGACCTGCTGGTCCTCAGAGGACGGCTTAAGGACCTGCTGGTCCTCAGAGGACGGCTTTACTTATTGAACTTCTGAGAGCCTCTGAAGTTTGTTTCTGAACATTTTATTTTCTCAGAGAAATAAACAACTAAAATGAGGTAAAATGTTTCAGGACTGCTTCCCAACATCTTGGCTTAGCATCTCTGCATCCTTTCATCTTTATCCACTCAGGAAAACATTTTAACCTCTAGATTTAATGAGCAATAATTTCACTCTTAGCATCACTAGAAATATAATCCTACAGTAGATTCCACTTTGAATCAAACCAGTCAGCAGACCGACAGGCAGACCTCCCACTCCGGGTATCCTGCTCCTTGACCTGAGGGACAGGTGGACCAGCAGAGGGGGTGTCCTCCTCCTCCCTGACCTGGGGGACAGGGGGACCAGCAGAGGGGGTGTCCTCCTCCTCCCTGACCTGGGGGACAGGGGGACCAGCAGAGGGGGTGTCCTCTTCCTTCTCCTCCTCCCTGACAGACAGCTCAGCCTGCGGGCTGATGAGGCTCTGACCTCGGTGTTTGGCTAACAGCTAACAGCTAGCAGCCTGGCCGTTAGCTGCTAGCTGTTAGCTCCGCAGCTCCAGCAGCTAACAAAGCGTCCAGCGGCTCCTTCACACCCAGAAAACGGCCTCTGCTTCAGGCTGCGCTGCTTCCCTGCCGGACCCGTCGGTCCGCGGCTTCCCGCAGGACCACCCATGCTAACCGGACAGGGGGCGCTTCATTGTCCGCTCTACGTGCCTCTGCTAGCGGATCCGGGACACCTGCCAGCCGGGCGGAGCGGGGAGGACAGGGACAGTCAGCGGGGACATGTCCCGGTGGGACAGCGGCTCACCTGAGAGTGTCTTCTCGGAGGTTCATTGGTTGTCTTCCTCCCTTCCTTCGGCAGCCATTACAGCCGCTCCGCTGCTCGGGGTGTCAGACGCTGGACGTGAGCGCGTGCAGCTGCTGCGCCGCCCGTGAAGCGCACAGCGCGAGCGGCGGTGACAGCTTCCGGTTCTTTTCAAAATAAACTCGGACTGCTAGCTTCCGGCTCTTTTCAAAATAAACTCGGACTGCTAGCTTCCGGCTCTTTTCAAAATAAACTCCGACTGCTAGCTTCCGGTTCTTTTCAAAATAAACTCGGACTGCTAGCTTCCGGCTCTTTTCAAAATAAACTCCGACTGCTAGCTTCCGGTTCTTTTCAAAATAAACTCGGACTGCTAGCTTCCGGTTCTTTTCAAAATAAACTCGGACTGCTAGCTTCCGGCTCTTTTCAAAATAAACTCCGACTGCTAGCTTCCGGTTCTTTTCAAAATAAACTCGGACTGATAGCTTCCGGCTCTTTTCAAAATAAACTCCGACTGCTGCCTGAAGGCTCCTGTATTCCTGGTCTTTATCTAACTAGATGTTCTTTTCATTTCGGGTCAGAGTTCAGAAACATGTTTTCTACAGTTTATTTCTTTCTTTGCTGTCCTTCTTCTCTGAAGTATACAGCGGCCTCCATCTGAGCTTCAGACAGAAGGCATGTCCAGGGGAATCTGGCTGTTATGCAACCTTCCGCCAGCAGGTGTCGCCTTTGAGCAGATGAAGCGGGCTCATTAAGGGCAGAATATTTCCAGCAGTCCAATTCCCAGGAGGATCAGATTCAGAGAAGCTTTAATTTTTAGTTCTGTCAGTTAAACAAAAACCGCTTTGATTAAATGAAATATATAGAAGTTTAACAGAAACCTTAGAAATGTTTGACCTCTTGACAAACTAATTAATGCCAAAAACAGAGAGAAAACACAAAGAGCTACAAATCAAATAAAAACTCTAAGAAAGAGTTATGCTGAAATATTCCCTCCATTTTTTGACTTTCTTAACGATTAAAATACTTTACAGTATTTTATTATTTATCTTTTAACTCTTCACTATTATGTTATTCTTATACATTTTTCTAAGGTCAACATTTGGTCGACCATTTTTTCTATAATCTTTTTGCTGCTGGAAACACCAGAAATTCCCCACTGAGGAACAATTAAGGGATTTTTTATTCTATCAACTATTTCAGACAAATAGGTTGGTAAACCATACCGACTTTACCTTTGATGCTCCGTATCATCTCTAAAATGCTGTATAAACATAAATCTGGCAAATTTGTAAAAACGTATGTTTATAGGCTGAAAAATTTAGACCTATTCAAACATTGTGTTCTGAGGTATGCAGGTGTTTTTCTAAATTGTTAACGTTCTATTGAGTCCAAAGAAGCTCCAAATGAAGCCATTTCATGTCATCATATCAGATAAAATCAGGTCTTTGTCGAACCGTTCCTTTCTGAAGATGGATTTAGGATGAAGCCTGATTACTCTGGGCTTCCATAGGGGGGAGCTATGGGGGGGAAAGCTGTGGGTCAAAATCATTTTCCAAAACTTAAATATTTCAGTTCTATTCAGTTTATTTCTATAGCTCCAGTTCACATCATGTCATCTCAGGTCACTTTATAGATCCAGATCAACCAGATCATCCAGTCAGATTGATTCAAAGTTTTCTAAGGAAAACCAGCTGATTGCATCGACTCATTGACTCTTCAGCAATCCCTCACACTAAGCATGCTTGTAGCGACAGTGGAGAGGAAAAACTCCCTTTGAACAGGAAGAAACCTCCAGCAGAACCAGGCTCAGTGTGAGCGGCCATCTGCTGAGGCCCACTGGGGTTCAAGGAGACAGAAGCAGACATAGAAAAAGAAGCATAGATACAAAAGGCAACTGTCAACCAGCTCCACAGGCGGCCCCGTCCAGGAAACACACAGCCAGGCAGACGAGCTCCGAGCCAGCTCCCATGTCAGAGGATGAAGAGAGCACCTCCAGTTAGTCACAGTCAGAGAAACAGGACTATACTGGAAAACAGGCCAAGCTCCAACATCTAGAAACAAAGGTGTTAATGGTCTATTTTGATATAAATTCAAAATAGACATATACCAAAAACCAATCGAACGTATACTAAGTTATCACACCTGTATATTTATTTGAGTGCCAAAAAAAAAAAAAAAAAAAAAAATTATAAAAACACTATAAAATTAAAACAATTTCCCATCCAGCTTTACATTTAGTCCGAAAATCTTTCCCTTCTGAGGCTTTGTGAAGGTAAATCCAACATTGTGTCACAAACCTAAAATTATAATGTACCAGTTTAATAAAGGAGAAGCTATTAGTCAGCTTTAGATTTTTGTAATATATAAAAACTGTTTATTTTCTGAGAATGTGTTTATTTAAAAGCAACTATTCAACTGAACAAACATCTAGAAAAAGTAGACTATTTCTATTATTTTCCATGTGAATCCCAGATTGTTCATTCTTCTTTGCCTTTTCTAAAAGTGTTTTAGATCGGGTGTGCTTTGGTGGCGCAGTGGTTAGCACCAAAGACCACAGGCCTTAGTCCTCGACGCGGGCGACCCGGGTTTAAAAACGGCCTGTTGTCCGATCCATCAAACTTCTTTACTGTCAACTACAATTTACATTGCAATCAAAATGATGTTTATTTATATCAGTAGGTGAAATTCCTCCCTGCTTTACAACACTGTTGAGCAGAAGTGGGTGAATGTAAGTACACTGCAAAAAATAGAAATCTCAATAAGTTATTTTTTCTTAAAATAAGTGTGTTTTCCCTTGATTTGAGGAGGTAAGTAAGACACTTTGCCAATGGAACAAGACAATTTCCTTTTAAAATAAGAAAAAACTATTTTATCGTCTTATTTCAAGTAAATATTATCTAACTATCTTATTTTAAGACTAAAAATACTCATTCCATTGGCAGATCATCTTATTTACCTGCTCAAATTAAGGCTAAATATACTTAATTTAAGCCATTTTTTACTTATTTCTGGATTGTTTTTGCAGTGATAGATGGTCGTTCTCCTGAATTCTGAAGGATGTTCAGGTATTGTGCTTACAACTCTTCACCTTCTTGTATCGTTCCAAAGGCAGAATCTAATATATTCAGCGAAACCATTGGTAATGTGTTGGGGCTTAAACCTCTGACCTAATCAGCTGCAGGTGAGGACAGGCTCTCCGTGATTCGTCTGGTAACATGCAGGTTTGGGTCAGCAAGCAGAAGCCCAGATTTAAAATCAGCTTCGTTACTTGGCTTAGGAAGCCTTCCAGAGAAAGACGAAGCGAGGCTGAACCAGTCAGATCAGTGCTTCGGAGCACATGTTCAACAACAACTCATTGTACTGAAGGTGGATTGAGCTCATGGTGGACAGTGAGACCCTTGGAGCTGGTCCTGTTTGCCTTTCACGGGGTCGTTTTCAACTATTCATCCTAGTTAAATAAACAGAGATCGATGGATTTCACTCAGTCGGCACATTTATTCATATCTTTGCAAAGAGAGAACAGTTGATCATACGTTCCTTATTGCACGGTAATCAGCCCTGTTCTGATCTGAGCAGCGTTCGTTCCTCCTTACTGACAATAATGGAAAAGTATTCAGAGTCAAAACTAATTACAGACACTTTGGTTAAACAGTAACATGTTATGAATAAACCTGGAGAAAGAATCTGGTTTGTTATGAAAGAAGCTATGTCTGGTCTACAAACACCATCCTGCAGAGAATGGTGTGGCCTTCAAGGTGAAACAGGCTGAGTGAAAACTTTTATTGTGAGTAAATGGGATAAATTAATATATAATAGAAGAGAAATCTACATTTTCAAACAACAGAGGGGGTCTGAATCACTGAGGGAGGCGTTATATAGGTTGATGACCACAGGTAGGAATGTTTTCCTGTGGCGCTCTGTGGTGCATCTGGGTAGGAGGAGTCTTCTGCTGAAGGAGCTCGTCTGCTGGACCAGTGTGTCGTGGAGAGGATGTGAGTCATTGTCTAAGATGGACTGAAACCTGGACAGCATCCTCCTCTCTGCCACGGTGGTCAGGGTGTCCAGCTGCTCCCCCACAACATCACCGGCCCTCCTGATCAGTTTGTTCAGTCTGTTGTTTTCAGCGACCCTCAGCCCACTGCCCCAGCATGTGACAGCAAAGAAGAGCGTGCTAGCAACAACTGACTCATAAAACATCCTCAGCATGGTCCCACAGATGTTAAAGGACTTCAGCCTCCTCAGGAAGAATAGTCGGCTTTGGCCCTTTTTGTAGACCGCCTCGGTGTTTCTAGTCCAGTCCAACTTATTGTTAGAGTACACTCCCAGGTACTTATACTCCTCCACAGTGTCAACAGGAACCCCCTGGATGGAAACAGGGGTCACAGGTGTTTTTGTCCTCCTCAGATCCACTATGAGCTCCTTAGTCTTTGTCACATTGAGCTGCAGGTGGTTCAGCTCACTCCAAGTGACAAAGTTGCCCACCACAGTCCTGTATTCACTCTCCTCACCCTTTTCAATGCAGCCGACAATTGCTGAGTCATCAGAAAACTTCTGAAGGTTGCAGGACTCAGAGCAATAGCTGAAGTCCGAGGTGAAAAGGGTGAAGAGGAAGGGGGAGAGGACAGTCCCCTGAGGGCCCCAGTGTTGCTGACCACCCTGTCAGACACACAGTTCTGTAGGCGTACATACTGTGGTCTGCCCGTCAGGTAATCAACAATCCAGGACACGATGGGGGCCTCCACCTGCATCGCAGTCATCTTCTCACCTAGTAGAGCGGGGCGGATGGTGTTGAAGGCGCTGGAGAAGTCAAAGAACATGATTCTCACTGTGCTCGCCGGCTTGTCCAGGTGATTGTAGACTCTGTTCAGCAGGAAGATGATGCTGTCCTCAACTCCCGGGCGGGGCTGGTAGGCGAACTGTAGTGGATCAGTGAAGGGCCTGACCATGGGCCTTAGCTGCTCCAGGACTAGCCTCTCAAAGGTCTTCATGATATGGGACGTCAGTGCTACCGGTCTGTAGTCCTGAGGGTCACTAGTGCGCGACGTCTTTGGCACCGGAACGAGGCAGGACGTCTTCCACAGCACGGGGACTCTCTGGAGGAGCATGCCCAGACTGAAGACTAGGCTAAATATTCCACACAGCTGGTTGGAACAAGCTTTGAGCACCCAGGGGAGAACACCATCGGGGC